AAAATACATTTTTTACTATTTTCACTCTCGCTACTTTAAATATATTTTGGCTTGATTCTTTTAACTCAATGATTTTCAATTTATTGTTTTTAATTGATTGTTGTGTCTTTTTCACATTTTTTGTGTTTTTCCAATTTAAGTGCATTTATTCAAACTCATTTTATTCAAATTCTGCAAGTTTTACAATAACCTTTCTTGTATACATTTTATCTTGTTTTTTGGCTTTGGTAACTGTGGCGTTCTGTGCTTCTTTCTTTTTAAAATTCAAATTCATTCTGATTCTGTTTCGTATGATGCTTTCAATTGACTAATTTAAGCTACAATTGTCCGATAATTTAGCTTCTGAACGTGTAACTTTGGCTCCAAGTCTTAAAGTTTCTTTGTAAACTTATGTTTCATTACTCTTTTCTTTTCAAATATTTTCTGTAAATCAACCTTTTGAGCAGTTAACAATTTAACAAACTTTCCATTTGTTCTTTATATTCACCAAATTCGTATTTATTTTACATCACTTCTTGATTTTTTTCCACACATTTCTTTTTCTGGACTTTAGCTTGTTGGGTGGTAATTCTTTCAAAATTAAGTTGCTCTCTCAATGATAGAACATTCAAAATTTGTCACGATGGACAAATAACAACCCTGTCTTGATTATTGAGCCTGGCGTTGGTAAGACAGCTATTTGGAAGGGTTTGTTGCAGCCAAAAGTAAAAAAATTTACAAACTCATCGAACTTGATATGGGTGCGCTAATTGTTGTTGCACAATACAGAGGACAATTTGAAAGGCGACTGAAGACTGTTTTAAAGAAAATGAAAGCGAATTGTATTTAAGTCATAAGTCTATTTCCTTTTTTTTTCATTATTTTGTTAGTCAATTGATCAACTTAAACTATCAAGTCAGTCGTCTTTTTATTCAGTATTTTGTTCATTTTATTCGTATAAGGTGAACATAACTTCCTGCAATTCGCTTTCAGCAGCATATTTAGCAAATAGGCTGCTATAAGTTATTTGTCAATTTTCATTAAGATCTTATGTATGATTAAAATGTATTGGTTTTGTACCTAAACGTGATATTTATTTGTTGTTTTTATATACTTTAAATGGTATTTTTCAATCTAATAACATCTTTAACTGATCACCTCTATGTGTTATTTAAGTCATTTTGATAAAATGTATAAAAAATAACACTGCAAACGACTTATCACGGTCGGCCATCGATATGTATTTGATATTTTAAGTTGTTTTTAAATTGGTATAAAAATTTCAATTTTAAGATTTGAGCCT